GTATTTGTTTTTTCTTCGCAGTTGTCATGTTTACAAATGGCAAAAATATGCTCTCCCGTTTCGACCGGCAATCAGGTCATCATCAGACATTCTGCCATGAATGTGACGGGGCTTATTTTCACCATAACTCAGTTGAAATAACATTGCACAGCCACATAAATTCCTGGAAGCACTACTTTGAAGGGCCTGCTGCATCAAGTTGTCCTTTGTGGTACTCGTCATTGTACTGGCCTTCACTTCTCGCAAGGTGGTACATGTGTTCTAGTTTTGCCCGTGTTTCTTTTCTTTTCATCTTAAATTGTCTTGTTTTTTGGTAATGCTTATGCCTTTGAAGTCTTTTTGATGCTGATTTTAGATATCGAAGTGGTCTTGGTGATAGGGAGTGTCCTGTTATACTTCGGACCTTTTTCTCAACAGAAACTTGCAGTGAATTGTTTAACTGCAGAGTTTTTGAAGCTAAGCTGCCCGCAAAATTCCTCGAAAAGTTGATTTCTTTAGGCAGGGTGGATAACACAGATCTGTTAAAACTTTCGCACTTCTGTGTTGAAGTGTTGCTTGTCACACTTTTGATGGCGTACTCACTTAGGCGTATTTCCAGAATAGCGGATAATAGCTCACGGTCATTTCTTGTCAATTCTAGGTGATGAATACCATGTGTGGGTAGATAGGAAGAGTTATACCACCAATCACCAACATTTCCTACACCGGAACAAACTAGGGATTCCTCTGGACAGAACTTACAGCTACCAGCATAACACTCTAATGTAGCTATACGGATTGTCGGTAAGGTATGTAAATTTCCTTCGAGACCATTTTTTTTTAGGCGAAGTTTTTCTATAATAGCACTGCATTTAGCCTTAATATCCTTAGCAAAAGCTCTAATAGCTTGTTGTCTTGCACTGCCAGATAGGGTTTTTCCTTAAAACATTGTTGGGCTCCAATTTGAAGCTCTTGCCTTTATTACTTGGCGACTGCCTAAATGATAGGGGTCAGCTTGACGAGCTACTTTCCACGCATTTCCAAGCTTGTCATAAAAATCAGTCATCCCGAGATGAGCTTTCGTATCTCCATCAGTGGTCAGTGTGCAAACCAGAATATTTTCTTTTGAAAGCTGCTCAGCAATGTCATAAGCCATCTTTCTTTCAGAATGAGGCTGCATATACTGCATTGTTGCAGTACAATCAAAATGGCCTGGACAATTGACTTCAAAGCCCTTGTTCCGCATGTATGCTCCAGTCCAGCAAAGTTTGTTTTGTACTGCTAACCCAATTATGTAGTTATAGCTTGTATGGTTTTCAATGGCAACACCATAAGCCTGTGAAGCTGCCTGGCCAGGTTTGTATGAAGAAACCATTCTGGCTGCATTATAGCGGCCATCAAACGATAAGTCGAGATGGTTCGGATTTGGTTTGTGAAGACTCTTATTGTGCTGAACAACAAGCTTCCTCTTCTCAGTCATATCGGCATTATTTAATTGTACAGTGTTGAGGCTTGCTGTGTTTGTTAAATTTTGCATATAACTTCTACTAGGTGCAGGAATATCCATTGTAGTGAACAGCAGGTTAACCTTTTCTATTCCAATAGCTGTGTCTTGCAGTGCGGACGCCACTAACATGTTGATAGCAGCTGCTTGACTACCCGGGCACTTATTGAATGTCTCCATTTTGCTAGATACAAATTGGCAGGATAAGCACTTAAATTGCAGCCTAGAACCCAGTCCAGGTTTTTGTTCACAGTGTAATTTGATGTTTAATTTATCACATTTTTGAGCACTGTGCTCTTCATAAACTTTGTTCATCATAGCAATTTGCTTATCTAAATTGATCACTCTATTCCCTTGCGGTTCACTGTCATCTTTCTTTTGCAGACTTTTCTGTGAGCGAAGCACTGGTTTTGAGGAATTTTGTGCCTGATTTTGGCTGAGATGTAAGCAAGAACTACTGTTGGTTTGTTCCTCAGCATTCAAGTGAGGAGGTAAAATCTTGTGTCCTTTCTTGAAAGTTCCACTGTTAAGGCGTCTCTTTCCCATTGTAAAATAATATTTTTAAGAGTATGATGGGCTTGAAGAGTATATTTGATTTAATACTTCCTATTCAATTATTTGAATTAATTGCCTTGTTCTACAACAATTTTAAAGGCCTTATCTGAGTGATAATTTACTTACAAAAGACCATATATAGTACTATGGTAATAGAGATTGTTATCTTTACATGTTTATAGATGGTATTAACAAAGAGTGTAGTCTGTGTATGTATATACTTTGCTTTGTTTACTAATACATTTAAGTAAAAGTCTTAATCAGGAAGTTTTATAGCAATTTTTAGGGAAAAAATCATTATAATGGCAAACTTTATGCCCATTTTTCACTATTTCAAACTTAAATTTTAAGCTTTTTTTAAAGAAAAAATGGATAAATTTTACCATTTTATACAAACAAGGTATAATTCATGCACAGAAAACCTGTACAATATTGGCCAACAACAAAAAACTTTATTTCATCGCCATAGTGTAGTCAGGTACGGTTTGTCAGCGTACGGTATGGTACGGACATATACAGAACATTATTGTTAAAGAGTTGTTCCCCTTTGTATTACATGTACGCCATTTGTTGCCGATTCTTTAGGCAATATTAATAAACTACAAAACTCATATATTTGTGTGTTTCTATACCGTTAAACCATACTGGCGTGGTGGCAGCAGGAAAAGGACTCACTCTCAATCTGCAACCCAGTAATTTGCGGACACTGTTGTGGACATTTCACGTCAAAATAAGTGCAAAAAAAACGGATAGTTCTACTCTACTGCGTAGTGACAAAACACATAAACATTTACAATAATGGCTCAAGTACGTGCACCCAAGCAATGGTGTTTGACCAAACAAGAAACTATTACATCGTTCGAGTCTTGGAGACAAAATTTACAATATACTTTGTCCCTGGATCCCAATTTTGCACCGTTCCTAGTTGAGGGATTTCAGTGGGAGCGAAAAACAAACACAAACCCAGAACGCGGATTTACTGATGATGGCGAATCAGTTCCTGAGGCAAAGAGGCGCACAGCTGCACAAAAAGTGATTTATCTAGAACTCATGTTAGGGCAAATTGCAAACTTCTGCCCAATAATTTCTCGTAACACTATCGTGAAAAATGCAACGTCAATAAAAACTATTTGGCAGACAATTCGTTTACATTTCGGATTCCAGTCAACAGGAGCACATTTTCTGGATTTTGACAGTATACAACTTCAACCAGGAGAGAGACCAGAGGATTTATACCAGCGTTTATCAAGTTTTATCGAAGATAACACATTAAAGAAAGATGGTGGCCTATCTCATATGGGAACTGTACCAGATGAAGACGAAGAGATTACCCCAACAGTCGAAAACTTGGTTGTATTAACATGGTTGAGATTGATAGACAATCGTTTGCCGGCACTAGTAAAACAGCGCTACGGAACAGAACTTCGTTCAAGGACTTTAGCCACACTTAAGCCTGAAATTTCTCTCGCTTTAGACAGTTTGCTAGACGAAATACATGCCGTAGCTGATGCAAAAGTCATGCGTTCTGCTTTTAAAGGTTCTAAAGACAACGGAAAATTTCGATCAATCTCTCGTGCCACCCCCTCGTGCCCCTTATGTAAACAAGCTGGCCGAAGATCATTCAATCATTTTCTCAGCAAATGCAAATTCTTACCTGAGGAAGACAAGCGTTACCTTTCAAGTGTTCGTCAAACTGTCTCGGACGAAACTGCGGGGGATCCGGAAATCGATCAAGAGTCTTACGAAGATGACAATCAGCAATCTCAATGCTATGGTATACATTCGGCTACTTCTAGACGTGTAAGCACCAAACAGTCTCCAACATTAAAAACATTTTATAAACATTTTCCTCTGAATGTTACCCTAGATACTGGAGCAGAAATCAACATGTTGAAATTGTCTGTTGCACACTATATGGGAAGTACCTATTAAGAAAAGCAATCAACGTGCACTCCAGGCAGATGGTTCCACCCAATTAAAGGTGGCTGGCGAGACACATATAGTTCTTACTCGTGGCGAACAGAGTTTAACTGTTGAGGCATTAGTGGTTGAAAACTTAGATGTGGATTTACTTGGTGGAATACCTTTCATGGCAACAAATGACATTATGGTTAGACCTGCAAAGCAACAAATTGTTATTCATGGTTCTGATACAGTGTTTTATGCACCAGAGGTACCTGACTCGGTTTCTCACAGTGTTCGAAGGACCCAAGCTTTTGTCCTTAGGTCAAGTTCCAATATGTCTTCAATTACATGGCCGGGATCTTACCTGGAGGTCACTTTGCCAGACAACATTGATCCAGATGGCACACTTGCCATAGAGCCCAAGTTCGGAGCATCCAGTAACAAACAATGGCCACTTCCACAAGTTATTGAAGCAGTGTCTGGTAAAGTAAGACTACTGAATTCAACGACCAATCCCATCCATGTGCATAAAAATGAACATGTTTGTCAAGCTCGCCACACTGTTGACTCTTATGATGCAAAAGTTCAAGACTTTCAAGACACACCCCTGGTTCGTACTTGTCATGTCAAGATGACTACCAATAATCATTTCTCTGATACGGTATCAGTTGACCCAGATGCTATACTACCTGCAAATACTCGCCAGTGTTTCCAGAACATCTTAGAGCAATATGATAGACTGATAGTGTATTTGATAAGACTCTGTCTGGATATAATGGTTTTTCTGGGCCATTCAAAGCAGTTGTTAACATGGGCCCTGTTCAACCACCTCAGCGTAAAGGACGCCTACCTCAATATGCAAGAGATAAGTTAGTTGAGCTACAAGAACACTTCGATGATTTAGAACAGCAAGGAGTGTTTTCGCGCCCAGAAGATATCCCAATTACAGTTGAATACTTAAACCCTTCTTTCTTGGTAAAAAAAAGGTCAGGGAGGTTTTCGGTTGGTCACAGCGTTTGCTGATGTTGGTCGTTATGCTAAACCTCAGCCTTCACTCATGCCAGACGTAGACACTATACTTCGTACAATAGGTCAATGGACATACATAATAGTAACTGACCTAACAAGCGCATTCTACCAAATTCCTTTGTCGAAGGAGTCCATGAAGTATTGCGGAGTAGCGACACCTTACAAAGGCATACGTGTTTATACAAGATCTGCCATGGGTATGCCAGGCTCAGAAACGGCATTGGAAGAACTCATGTGTCGTGTGCTAGGTGATTTATTGCAAGAAGGTGTTGTGGCGAAACTTGCAGATGATTTGTACATCGGTGGAAACACTACAGACGAAGTCCTTGCCAATTGGACCCGTGTATTAGATGCTTTACAGAAAAACAACTTGAAACTGAAGCCCACAAAAACCATCATATGTCCAAGATCCACTACGATCCTTGGATGGATATGGTCCCAAGGAAAATTTTCAGCAAGCCCCCATCGTATAGCTTCTCTTTCGGCTTGTCCACCCCTTCAAACTGTCCATGGGTTACGATCATACATTGGCGCTTACAAGGTGTTGGGTCGTGTTCTACCTGGTTGTTCGCAATTGATAGCTCCACTCGACAACATTACAGCTGGTGGGAACTCTTCAGACAAAATCGTTTGGGATGAAGCCTCACTTAAACATTTTCAAAACACTCAGTCAGCACTAAATTCAAACAAGTCAATTGTCCTTCCTAGACCTACAGACCAACTTTGGATAGTCACTGATGGGTCAGTCAAGAAACGTGGCATTGGCGCTACATTATACGTTACGCGGCATGGCAAGCTGTTACTCGCTGGATTCTTCAGTGCCAAGTTACGAAAACACCAGGTCACTTGGTTACCTTGTGAGATAGAGGCTCTTGGCATTGCAGCCGCAGTCAAGCACTTCAGTCCATACATTATACAGTCCAGTCAGCAGACGTGTGTGCTAACAGACAGTAAACCGTGTGTTCAAGCAATTGATAAGTTATGTAGAGGCGAGTTTTCTGCTAGTCCAAGAGTGACATCCTTTCTTTCTGTTGTTAGCCGATATCAAGTACATGTTAAACATCTTGCTGGTTCTGCCAATGTCCCATCCGATTTTTCCAGCCGCAACGCACCAGAATGTGAAAACCCCACTTGCCAAATATGTACATTTATTCATATCACTGAGGATTCTGTTGTTAGAGCGATTAACATAGAGGACGTACTTAACAGTAAGAGCCGCTTACCATTCACATCCAGATCAGCTTGGAAAGATATTCAGTCAGAGTGCCCAGACCTTAGACGCGTTCATTCACATTTATTACAAGGCACTAGGCCTTCAAAGAAACTAACAAATGTTAAAGATGTCAAACGTTACCTCAACTCTGTATCTATTGCCAAGGATGGTATACTTGTCGTAAAACATACTGATCCTCTTGTGTCTTCGGTTGACCTAATTGTCGTACCCAGATCTGCCATTGATGGTCTTATCACCGCCTTGCATATCAAACTTGACCATCCATCAAAAAATCAAATACTACAGGTTTTGAAGAGACATTTTTATGCCTTGGACATGAGCCAAGCAGTTGAAAGAGTTGAAAATCTGTCTTCTATTTCTGAAGATATGTTATAATTTGTAATGCCATTTTTTTATCTAAAATTCTGTTGGCCGAGCTTGATTTTCCGCAAAGTGGTCACCCTTTAAGAAATGCTCCTGTATCAATGTGAAATGTAAGAGACATTGATTTCTTGATTAATATTACTTGTTCAACATAAAATTACCAAAAAATGTGTGTAAATGTTCTTTTAACTGAAATTTTATGTTCATTTAGGTGTCACCCCGGTACGGAATTAGACCCAGCCCGTTGTAGTCTAGAAAGTAGTTCTTTTAAATTTTGAAATGGCCTATTTCAAGTCATCTTAATTGATACTGGTTATATTTTAAGTATATCTTTAGTAATTATGTACATGAAGTTTCATTTCTGAGTACTTTAAAGGTTGTTTTTGATGTATTTTTGCAGGATTTCATTTCTGGGTGGAAGGTTTCATGAGGCACTATGCACAAGAATACACACCAGTTACTATTTGGAATATTCTATAGTGATTACAGAAATTAAAAGCTGCAGAAAAACTCCAAGGGCTAATGTATTATTTTTTGTGCTAAATTTACTTGGACTGCATTGGTGTTTAAAGAAATGTTCATTAAGTTTCGGTACCGGATTTGCTTTGTCCAGAATTTAGCCTTAAATGTGATGGATTTACTATAGGATATATGGGTCGAAAATTCAGTGGGCCGTCTCCATAAATTATTTCTTGCATCTTGATTTTTTTCTCAAAATCTTAGAACATTTTTCTTACTTTTGATTTAATTGAAATATTTTTGCTCATCTGCAGCCATGCAGCTTTAAAGATATTTTACGTTATATGATATAACCGTATTCGTCTAAGGTAAACTCAACAATTTGCTAAATGTTGTTTAAAATAATAAATTAAAACAGTCAGCAATATATTACTTATACATTTAAATTTGCCTTTATAAAGAAATATCCCAGTTTGAGAGGTTTTGACATCTTTTTACTCATTTTGTTTCAACGCTTCTAAATAAGTTTTAATTCTTATTGTATTTTAAGTGGCGCCTTATGATATCTTCTCATCGTTCTTTTGTTTTATTCTTGCGTGTTAACTGCTACTTTATATTACTTTAAACGCAGATAGAATAGAAGAAATAACAATATCCGAAACAATAATTTCCTTCTGTCGGTTTCGTATTTAACATTTAAATAGAAAAGCTTGTAAAGGGAAGAAATAGTTCATTCTACACAAAGACGCTAATATGGCCGGACATATGATCTTTGCTTCTGTTCTCATAGCTGCTAGTATGGTACATTTTTCGGTAGCGACTGAAGAAATGTGCTCAAAATTTTCGTATGAAAAGGAAATTATTGCAAACATGCTTAAAATGGAACTCAAAGTTGAAAAAATGGAACAAGAAGTCAAGAAAAGAAACGAAGATATTGTAACAATGCTTGACACTCAGAAGAAGGAAATGGAGAAGTTTGCAAATGACTATAAAAATCTTCGAGATATTCTTGTAGTTGTGATGGAAAACAAAACTGCAGCTGTTAACTCTTTTCTTGAGGATAAAGCGGTAAACGTATTAGACGACAAAATAGCAGAAGTTGATGATGCGTTGAAAATAATGACCAGAAAGGTTGATGATGTATTAAAAGGTAATTACATATATGCTTAATTATGAGCTTTACAAATGAGAGATATTCCTGTTGTTGTCATTGAAAACAAAGCGGTAGAAGTCAAATTGTTTCTTAAAAGCAAAGAGACGAATAGAGCAAATGGTCTGGATGACAAAATAGCAGAGGTTGAAGATGCATTGAAAAAGAAAACTTGAAAGGTTGATGCATATTCAAAAGGAATATAGTAACATAATCCCTGTCTCCTTGGGCATTTTTATGTTTTAAAAACAATATTTCGTATTATTACATAACAGCGACATCGACATAAGTATTACAATTCACGTGGTTAAAAACTGATAGATGACATAAACTATGTAATAAAAATGAATGATGATTTCAAAATTTTCATTTAAAATCTTGGGAGAGAAATGTGTCAGTTTCTATACTTTCTACAAGTGAATAAACAAATCTTTTTACTTGATAATGAATATGTTTTTTTTAACTATACTTTAGCTTGTCTTGTTAGACTTTAATATTGCTATCTCTTTCGTTACCTTTCAGGCGTTGTTGAAAAATATCAGAATGTCTCTACTGTGGCATTTTCAGCAGCTGCATCCAAATCTCAAAACAAGCCTAGAGATCACCAAATCATTCTTTTCGATTCGATTCAGACGAACATTGGTGACGCATACAATGTCAACTCCGGTCAATTTACAGCACCTGTAGCCGGGACCTACGTGTTCACTTGCAGCTTATTTTCTGGGGTTAATGTCGAGTTTTGGGCTTATATTGCTGTAAACAAAACTCCAAAAGCCCTTTTGAACGAGAGAGGGACTGATGGTCGACATGGAATGGCAAGCCAAACACTGATTGCACACTTGAATCCGGGGGACGTTGTTACTGTGAATACGAACTACGGTGGCGGGTCAATAAATGGGGGCAAATATTCCACTTTTAGTGGTTTCTTGCTTCGATAGGAGTCATTTATCATCGCCTACTTTGGCAAATATCTCATATACAATAACATCTAATACTGTGTATTTAAATATGTTTATTGCTTTGTATAAAAATAATTTCGGTCTCAGCGGTGTTAATCACCAATTTAACACCGGTTTGGAATGTTGGTGCGAAGGAATTGACCACGAAAGCCGTAGGCCTGAGTAGTAAATTCATTTGGATCAAAACGAAAAACGGAGTTAAATAGGCTCAAACCAATATTATTTTGATCTTAACATGACAAAATAAGGGTACAAATCACTTATGCTATTTTTTCAAGTCTGCCGATATCGTATTGTGCTGTTTTATTTCGCACCTAAGGTTTAAAAAAATCACCTTAATTATTTTACAAGAATTATTTTATCCACTTTTCAACAATTGAAACTTACGTGTTTCTATTCAAACCAAAATCAACTGATGCATTGATAAAACCTGTGGCGTTAGTGTTAGATGTTATTTTAGTATCATGTGAAAAGAAAGCTAAAAAAAAACGGAACATATCAATAAAAACGACTTATTTTTGTTGAATTAAATAAAGTATTTGTGTATAGATCTTAAAGGAGAGAAAACATGTATAACCTCTAGCACCCCCAACAACAACAATATAAACAAAACAATTGTATATACATATAGTCAATAGCTAGTGTTTACTGGCACTTTAACACCCGTTTTTCTTCTTCTTTGGGTATAGTGATAAAAACATAAGGCATGCTAGAATTTTTCTTTACTTACTATTACAGTATCAATGTAACGTAAGAGCTGCTGCATTGCATCTGAATTATTCAGTCTATTTACTAACGAGAACTAGTCTACTATGGAAGTAATGGAATTATCGTGTTTTATGCCTAAACACGCGGCGGCTAATAGATATATGCATTCGTCCATTCAGCAATTGGGAAAATTTAAGTCATGTTTTTGCTATTCTTTTTTATTTTTAATAAATTCACGCTATTTTCAAATTTTCTAATATTTTTTTAAACCTTTTCTGATGTACAACATTGCTTTAAGGAATTAACTAAAGTGATAGTGCCAGTGATTACCATACCAATCATTTCATTTTCACTTGTTATCCAATTTGTTTTGCTTCAACCAGACCTTTCAATCTTTGTCGCAAAAAACACACATTTTCAGACACGGCATTACTTTGTGAATTTATGCAGTAGGTTCTACTTTTTCACAAAATATTCATCTTAATCTTTAAACAACAAGCACATACCAAGAACATGAAGAAAAATTGATTTTGTGCTTCAACTGTAAAAGAGAACAATTGTCAAGGCTGATTTTGTACATTACCTGTGACTGTTCACATCATTTGGTGGCGTCTTTGATGCGCTTCATCAACATTTAACTTGTTACCCTTTAATTTCAATTTTCACAACTGCGCAAATCTAAACAGGCAATTTGTTAAGTTAGTATTATATGGAAGGGATTATCCGCCAGTTCACCTACTATGCTTAATGGCATTCCAATTTTCGTTTTCACTTTTGCGATAGTGATTTCGATGTTAGATTTTGGTTATTTTCAAGACTTTATTTCGTATCTTTATAATTATAAAGGTATTTTGCAATATATCTTTGTTATAAGTTAATTCTATTTTTATACACGTTTTTCTTGTTTCATTCTGAAAATTGGTATGATTTCCCTTAAAATATATTTTATACATTTTAATTCAAAATCACACATTAAAATCAACATTAGGTAATCAAAACAATCGAATCATCATTCGCAGTATAAAATGATGTTTAACATTGACTCATTAAAACAAAACCGTCTTCATAACAATATTGACGTTATCTAAAAATGAAGCGGGGAACCAATTTTTGTAGTGAGTTTTTCTTACGACAGAGGTCGCTGTTTAATACTAACTGATCCCTCTCGGTGCTGACGTAAAAATCACCTCATGGAAAAGATCCGATCAAACATCGTGATGGTCAGACACTCACATTGATATTTCCATAGACTTTTATTATAAGAAATGGTCCCTAATCCTACCTTCAAATTGAATTTTCATGCTAAAGAGGTGATTTTTCTAGCAGAAGGAAATGCTTAGCACATAAAAATGTTCCTTTTATATAGAGGTAGCCAACCAAATTTTTTGCTAAATGACTTAAAGGAGGATTACCCCCCATTTCATTGAAATATTCTGCTGATCGCAGGACTGACATTTACTTTTTATAAATGCAAATATCCTAGTCAAAATTATCACAGAGACTCATGAAATGTTTCATTTTCTTCAGAAAACAATGTTTTGTTACTTTTTAAATTAGTTTTTATACTTAAAGATACCCCAGTTTCATCCAATCACTTCGTGTATAAATTGAGTCATACGTTTTTCCATGCACCTTTTCAGCCAGTCAGCCGTGTTACAATGCGATACCCTGACCTAATACCCTGCCTTGAAAAAAGCTATTACTAGCTCTATAAACAACAAAAACGAACATGTTCTCTCTTGCATAATGCGCAACATATCATTTTTATAACTAATTTTTGAAGATCTTTGAGAAAAGGTATGCATGTGGCATACTGTATGCGGCGGATTTTGAGATATTTTGCCTCAAACTTGGCCTTTTTACTAAACGTTATATATAGGGAGAAATATTTGGTAATCATTAACCTCCACATGATCACATTGATTAGGTAGCACTCCACACTAAATTTCAAGTTTCTGCCGTCAATGTCTTACAAGCAATATGTCTGATAAATCTGATCCCAAACTACACAACCTGGAAAAAGTAAACACATTTTGTTAAGAACATATATGTCATAACATTGCAAATCTATAATCTTGAATTGAATGTGCAGACAGTCTTTTGTCTATCCCATGTGCAGCAGTCTCGTAAAAGCCGGAAAATAATTAGGTAGTCCGAGACCCAAAGAACTTACCTAGTTTTTTTTGTTATTCCTCAACTTCCGTAAAAAATACCCTTGCTAAATATACGGCTTCTACGAGTAAACTCTGTAACACTTGCTTATTGGCAACATAATCTTAGTGGAGCGCAATTGGCAAAAATATATCACAAAGATAAATTTTTTAGCAGCGTGTGTTGATTTTGTTTAGATTTTTTTTTGATTGATAAGCTCTGAATTCCGCTCGTATTAAGTTACTTGTTTGTTTTTTCCAACATCCGGACGTCTGCTGTTAAAAGCAATGATTATCTAACTACATGGCAAACATTGACATCTTATAAATATTAACAGCATGTGATATTCTTACTATATTGTTTTCAAATTTTGCAATTTGAAAATAAGTACATGACACAAAGACAAAAAATTTTCAATGTTAAAAATGCACTTTAAAGACATTCAGTCATTTAAATCGCAAAGTCTCTATAATCCATGAAAATCCTGGCCATTCAAAGCTGTGGCTTCAATTTAGTGTGGTGTGCTGCCTTAGTTTCGTAGAATCAGAGTGTGAAACCGGTCAGGGCAGCGGTATTATATTTTACATTTTTAAACCAGTTATATAACCCGTTGATTAAAAAGGGCCAATTTCTAACTGCCCAAAACTTAATTAGTTTTGAATTATACGTCCCGAAACTCTAATTTGTGCTATTCAAACTGTCAGTTTCGATACATATACACAATGTCAGCAAGGACTGAAATATTACAATGATTTTGTAAATAAATACTGACATTGTAAGAATTATCGAGATTGATGTGGTTCAAAGTGTGTGCAAATTTTCGCTATTACCCTGATGAATAAAGAACTCGTAGTTACTCAGCAAAGTGGCAACATCTTAATATTGCATAGAGTGAATTACAAACGTTAGTTGAAATATAGTAATGTTCTTCAAATTAATAACCATAGTTTAATACTCTAATAATAATTGAAATTGTCTTCCTATCAAATAAGAATGTCTTAATTATAATATAAGAGAAAATTGTCTTCATAAATATATAATTACAATGTAATTTATATTTATATTATTATTTGGTATCGGATAATTCACTCTTTTCTCTTAGTATTATTTTATGCATATGAATTTCCGTGCGTGCGTAAAATCTCGATTGGTCAATATTTTGATATATAGAATTTTACTTTTCACAATAAATACTTAAAATATTTGTCATAGGAATTTTTTTTCATTCATGGAATACAAACTGAAAAAGAAATGTTTTCATTTTTATCATTTTTTGAAATATCATTTATTGTTTGTTTTGTCATCTTGTATTTACTGAAAAAAACCCAAAAAGCAAACAGCAAACACATAAAGTTGCTGAGGTTGTTGAGAAGTTAACACTCTGGATCGACAAGGATTTAAAGTAAATTAATAACTCGACATGAAGCTATATATACAATGTAATGTAATGTTTAAAAAGAATAGAAGGCATTAGACATAACCTATATCGCCACAACCAACAAAAAGTAAAAGGGGCCATTTTTTGTCATCCCACACATCCCTACTCAATATAACTGCAGCCAAAAGAGTTCTGTCATAAATGACTGAACAAGGTTTATTATGGTTAAAAAAAGATGCTCTATTCATTATTTTGAAAATTTCATTATAAAAGATTGTTATGCACATTAGCTTTATGACGTTAACACAGAACATCATATTTCCCCGACCAATATGAACAACATACCTGGTGCTTATAATTAAATATGGTTATCTTAATATCGTAAGTCAGGGAAATTTTGCACTTATTTTAAATCGGAATAGAACGTTGAAGCTATCTAATCTAATGGTCAAATCTAATTATTACAATTTGATAAGAGAGTGATGTAGAGTCAGTCCGATCGATAAGTGACAATTGTTAAAATCCCTATCAGCAGAAACTTTAGGTAAGCGTTTCTTCAAATCCGCATTTTAGTTGGGTCGTTTTATTTAAATATACCATGGAGTAAATATAGACAGGCAGATCAAACCAATTGCTTGTTATGTGTTGATACAAACACAAATTTATCAAAACGGATATGATTGGCCTTTAAGCTATTTGTCAAATGACCGCTAGGAGTGACGGTATGATGAAGGGGTAGTTATAGTTTCACTCCTTTTAATATACTCCATGGTTCATGGCACGAGGGTTTATTGGAGTAAGAGTTCTAGCTGCTCAAAGCGTGTCCTCAGCAAACTCATACAGAGAAGAGCTAAGGTTGATATCACAAAAATCATTCACATCCAATGTTTTTAGAAATTGCAACATTGAAGAAATTCAGGTGTACACAATGTAAATATTGTCTCTGTCGCCAGACTTACCTTTGATATTTATATATTGATTGACGTAACTGATAAATGGAATGTGCTCCCTAAAGTCTACTTATTGTATTGTAAAGAATAATCATATGGCAGATGGTGATTACATTCTTACCATATCTACATGCAAACCAATTACAAGAAGTATATACCATCAACAATTTTAGAGAACATCAACACTATTAAAACGAAACAAAACCCATCTCAAGTTGAGCATTTCGAAGTATAACCTTTCCATTTAAAATGATTACTTTGTTTGCTAACATTTTCAAATATGATATTCAAGGTAAAGCTGTTAAAAAACTATGCTTGGAAACACATATCTTTCTACATCAAATTCAAAATTTACTTCATATTAAGGATATCATTTTGTCTGGGTTAACGCAACCAAAACAAAATAGGTAAATGCTCATAAAACTTTTGAATAAAATGGTGCCATAGATTAACTTTGTAGGTCCAAATATACGAAGGATGATCAAAATACACAGACTTCCTCTACAGAATAAAATCTAAATATCGATAAATATTCAAAATTTTATTCCATATCTGCTGCATATCTTAGGAAGAAAATAAAGAAACATCACACATATGAAAGCTATGACAGATATAACTAATACATATAGCACTACACGAAGCTCTCCAGATTTACTAAACGACGTCATGTCGTGACACTCGAAAAAACGTCGCACAAAGCGTTAAATTAAACTGTTGTTAAAGCTCATCTCGAAAAATGCTCTAGGAGCCTGCACACAGCATACAAAGGTTAAAATCAGCAAGCATAGAGGCCTATATGTAGTTTCCCCGTAAGTTTGTCCGATATAGATGCGTATTGCGACTGTTCTTCTAGGAAGCTGTTTATGTCTAACCTTTTAACAACAAAGCATGTTCACTTTCGCGTCGGCGTAATTTAGTTGAAGCGTGTTACCCGTGAAAGCGACTTACTCTTTGTTCAACGTAACTCACACTATTTCGCCCATTCTTAGGTATAGTGTTTACACTCTCTGTTGCGTTGAGTAAGTAATATTTTGGTTAGATCATTTACTGTGAAATACTACAACTTTGTACAATTTTTCATAATCTACATTTTAGACTAAATACTTGTTGAATTCAATACTGTTAAGGCAGGTACATATTTAACTTCAAAAGTCGTAGTCCATTAAGCATATGCTAATATATAAATAATACACTATTTAAGTAAATGTGCGTCATTAAATATTTAAGGCCTATTTAACATTAAGCAAATGTATGCAAAAATGAGATTCTGAGCCATTGGGGTTGTTGGACCAGTAACATTAAAAAAATGGTATATTAAAAATACCAAAATCTATTTTGAATTCAACTAATGGTAAAAATTTAAGCACAATATATCACTAAAATGATGTTAATCATTTGAAAATCAGATACTTGAGGCTCAATATTATTTTTAAACATATTATTTTAAATGGACTGTTTATTGTGCAATACATATTATTTCAAAAGGACTATTAATTGTACATCGCATGAAACGTACGATTTAAAAATGATAAAATACTTTTTGAATAATAATAATGATAATAATATCTTTGTTTAGGGAAGGTAACACATTAAGAATATACAACAGTATTGATATATACACCTTATTTCTAAGAAGACCTTCTGAAATAGGAAAAAAACCAACAAAACATGAGGAGAAATAAATATTATGTGTATCATATGTATAATTTCTAGAATAAGATAACTCAAATTGTTTATCTTAAGCTACATTATCACAGTTGCATTGACTCATGGTCATAATCAACTTTCGAAAGTCGAGGACAGTTCAGTCACTTTGAGCAACAATTGATCACCATATGTTTAAACATATAAGTAAATTCACATTCATTCATTCATTTCATTGTTTATTCATTCATTATCAATATCAACATCAAAATTATGATTCTTTAAACATTTAAAATTGTCAACCATTTGAATAGTGAAAGGTTTTACTGAGTTCTACCATGTTCAATAGCTATGATAAGAACATGTGTCTTTAATATAACTTGTTTTAGGTCTTGTCCACCATAATACAATATCTTTTCGTGAGCTAGATCGTAAATTGTATTTTTTGTTTCACAATTTTATAATTCTGAACAATTACAAGCATTGACTTAAATGAAAGTTATTTCATAGCATATTAAAAAGAAAAAATATATTATAGTCTAGAGTGTTTAATGAAAATAGATTATATATCAAATATTCAAAAAATGGATTCTTTCCATTTAAACAAATTTTGATTTTTACTGACTTTTATAACACTTTGCTCAATTTTGTGGTTAAATTTGAATAAAATAAAAGCAGCTTGTCTTAAAGATTACGATTTTACATTAATACATGAACATATAATAAAATTTTGTGAGAATGTTTTAAAAAGTAAAAATGTTGTAAAAGTAATCAAGTGAGAATAAAGAGATGACAAAAAAAAAAAAAAAATATAAATTCAATAATTTCAGTCGGTGGAATGTAATTTAACACTTAACGCATTCTTAATATAGCCGCAACTAATATGTAATTACAATGTAAAAAATCGAGCAACATTCAGATATGCCTAAATATAAACGAGAACTAAATCGTTACTACAAGCGTCTGGAGAAATACTGAGTGAAGTGACTATTATCGAGGTCAATATATCAATCATTAATCGCACATAACATACATGTATAAATTATTACTCGAATCTTGAATCTTTTTTAAAGTCTTTGGACATTTTTCTCAACTTTGATTTTATTGATATAACCGTAAAAGTTAAGGTAAAGTCGACAATTTCTGAACTTTGTTCAAAATGATAAAGAATAACAGCCGCTAGTATATTATATTTGAAATTGCCTTTACAAAGAAAGATCACAGTAGCAAGAAGCATGTTTTCACGTCCTTTTTACCCATTTGGTTCAACGCTTCTTAATTAGTTTTACTTGTGTTTTAAGTGACGCCTTACACTATCTTTTCGTCGTTCTTTTGTTTTTACTTACGTGTTAACTCCTACTTTATATTAGTTGTAACGAAGACAGAATAGAACAAATAACAATTTCAGAACAATAATTTCCTTCTGTCGGTTTCGTATTAAACATTTAAATAGAACATTGCTTGTAAAGAGAAGAAATAGTTCATTCTATACAAAGACGCTAATATGGCCGGACTTATCATCTTTGTTTCTGTTTTCATAGCTGCTAGTATAGTACATTTTCGGTGGCAACTGAAGAAATGTGCTCAAAATTTTCTTATGAAAAAGAATTTATCACAAACATGCTTAAAATGGAACTCAAAGTTGAAAAAATGGAACAAGAAGTCAAGAAAAGAAACAAAGATATTGTTACAATACTTGACGCTCAGAGGAATGAAATGGAAAAGTTTGCCAATGACTACCAAAATCTGCGAGATATTCTTGTAGTTGTGATGGAAAACAAAACAGCAGCAGTTAACAGTTTTCTTGAGGATAAAGCGGTTAACGTGTTAGTCGACAAGATAGCAGAGGTTGATGATGCATTGAAAATAATGACCGGAAAGGTTGATGGTGTATTAAAGGGTAATTACATTTACTATTCAATTATGAAGCTAAACTAAAGTAACGATATCAGGAGACCTCTTCTCGTAATGTAAACGATACATATCTGAATTAACAACATAAGATGAAACGGAATCCGTTACTAATGTAAGGTAACTGTCAATGTATATCAATTAATAATAACTGTAATCGGAGGAAACTAAAATGACTCTACATATGTTTATTATTTATATCATTGGCAGTAAAAAGCAAAAACATTGACCTCGGTTGTATTAACAAATAGCCTCGCTAAGTGTGGCGCTAATTGTATTTAGCAGTCTATTGTTTGAAACCAATCTTGTTTTAATAAAACCTTTTTTTCTTTTCAGAAGCTGCTGAAACAGGACTGACAAAGCCAATCGTTGCATTTTCAGCGCATGTAGGGCCGATGAAGTTGCATATACCTCAAAACCAAATCATTGTCTTCAGTTCCATAATAACCAAAGTAGGGAACGGATATAACAGTGCATCTGGTAAATTTGTTGCCCCTGTCGCCGGATATTATCTATTGTCTTGTAGTCTCCGATCTTGGAATGGCGAAGAGTTATGGGCTAGTATTTATGTAAACAACTCATTGAAAGCACGTCTGAGTGAAAAGGGTGTACCTTCAAGCCATGGAATGACGAGTCAAACTATCATTGTGGAGTTGAAAGCAAATGATGTTGTTTCTGTTAAGGCACAATTCCATGCAATGAATCTCTACGGGCACGAATACTCTACTTTAAGTGGAGTATTAATTCGTTAAAATCGTATATTTTTGCTTATTATATTCAGATGAACAATTAATATCTATTTAACTAATCTTACCGAAATAACTTGTTCAGTGTATCTTGATTTAGTAATTTACGCATGAAGATACAATATATTTCATTTTGAATTTTAAATCAAAGTTGTGAAAATAATATATTTCTGACATTAAAGCAACTAATACAAGTTTTCATTTGTTTAATGATTTGACAATAAAATAACAATAAATAACTTGTAAAGTGTATTTCTTTCTTTTGTTATGAAGGTAATGCAGTGTATTCCTTTAAAAATTTTCATTTGTCTCAAATGCATGTACTCTGCTGCAGCCGACTCTATTTACATTTTACTGAGTTTGTTACTTGTGATAAAATCCAACTGAATTATCCCGTAATATTCAATCAGCCTAAGCAATTTTGCATTTGCAAATTTATATTATTTCTGTCAATTTTAGTGTCAGTTTTGTTAACAGGTAACAACGATTTATGACAGGTGTATTATAGGTGCAATAAGTTTTGTTTAAGCATATACTACCAGCTTTTGTCTAATATTTATACTACATGTATTATTTTTCTAATATCAGCCGACTTTATATACATTTTACTGGGTTGTATGATAAAATCCAATTGAATTATCCCGAAAGATTCAATCAGTCTTAGCCATTTTGCATTTGCAAATTAAAATTATTTTAAGATTTCTGACAATTTTAGTGTCAGTTTTGTTAACAGTATGATAGGTGTATTATAGGTGCTATAAGTTTTGTTTAAGCATATACTGCCAGTTTTTGACTAATATATATACGATTATGTCTAATATCTATTCCCCATTTTGCCGGTTGAGCAAGACCTTTAATACTCTCTGCGCATTATTTTAAGCACAAGTGGTCACCTGATTGCAACAATCTAGTTTGAAAGCTTCAACACAAAATCGATGTTTAAAATCATATTACTTACATATTGGTAAAGGGCACGAAATGACCAGTGCAACATAAGTTGTTATGGTACTTTTTTACTTTTATATTATTACTTAGAGTAAAAGGTTTCAAATGCACATTTGTCGACTTAAACATAACTTTGAAATACCTTCAATACAAAGTATAACCCTTTCAAACATGTTGTCTGTCATAGAATATTGACACCATAAACAGTGACAAAAGAAGGATCTTTCAGAATGAAAAACGCTAAGAGAACATTAAGTGATGGTCTACATGAATAGGGAGTTGGTTAATTAAAAATGATGTTAAAATGTACGAGTGCTAAATAATTTTTCAGGGGTCCTTTAATAGTACTACAAATACAAGAATTGCCAATCATCAAAGAAATTTGATGAGAATATTTTGTAGACTGTGAAACTTTGCAGAAAAAATGTCCCGAGGTTATCGCTGTGTTCTAAAAACAGCTGTGTTTGCCATCATTGGTCTCATGCTGTGTCACATGATAGGTCACACTACTTAAGAAGAGCACTTATTGAAATATAAACGATGGAGATAATGAAAGGATATTTTGTAAGTTACATGCAAAACATTGTATAGAAATGTCCCGAGGTGATTGTTGTTTTCTAAGGATAGCTGAGGTGACCATCATTGGTCTCATGTTGTGTCACATGATTGGCCACACGTGCTTAAAAGTTTACTTGTTTAAATGTAAACGATGGAGATAGACTCCAATGTATTTCTTCAAAAGAAATTTATTTGTGTAAAGAAAAAGACACAATACTATTTTTAAAAAAAGTGGTCCAGATACATTAAAACAACAACATTAATTATTAAAGGAGTGCCTCTAACATAGCGATAATTTAATGCGTATTCTGCACCATCTAATGCTGTTCTTTGAATATGTTCCTGACTTTTATTGTATGTTGATACTCCGTTTTGCTCCTTTGATTTTCGCACCAAAGCCTTATAATATTACTTTGCTCCTGATAACTGTTCTGCCATTTAATTATCGCCAAACACATATTCATGTGTTTTTCATGATATTATTTTATAAATATACCGAATGGTCAAAAAACGGGAGACATAAAAAGGATTTTGCTGTGAACTGTTTTCAATTGTAATAAAGTTTGTTTAGAGAAAATAATAGTTTTTGGATTCTTAAAAGTAAAAATAAAAGTGTTTACAAGATTATTACTTACTAGCGGCAACAGATTTCATCAATACTACCAGTTTGGACGTAGATCAGTCGGTACATTTGTGCAATACAATCATCGACAGCACTGATCGCTATTCACTCACTACCTTATTTGAAATTGTTCTGAAATAGGCGAATGATTTAGTCAATATTAAAAGACGGACACGCCTTTTTAGGATCTTTAACGTAGTAAATGTCAGTAGTGTATAAACTGTGTTGGCTTTGATTTATGACATATGCATGATTGTCAGACTGCACTCAGATTTCACGTCAATACCAATTGTATGACCAGTTGAGAAATACTTAAAAAATGAGAAAGAAAAATCCAATGGTATAAATGTGATATTAAGGAACATAATCATAAATTTTAAAACTTCTTATATTAAATAAACATAATTATTCATGTAACTTATTAGCAAAGATTATTCAGTTGTCTTGAAATGAAGCCCGACTTCTCCTTATATGAGTATAAATGATGATTAATCATTTTAATGTTGATGCAACATTTATTTAATTTATTCGTGAACCGTATAATCATGTGGGAGATGGTTAGATCTACAGCATAGCATTTTGTTCTTACAATATCAACATGAAAAACTAAACGTGCGATTACTTTGCTTATATTTTCAAATATGAAATTCAAGGTAGAACTGTTGAAAAATACTATGCTTGGATTACTTTAAGAAACATCTATCTTTCACCGTAAACATCAGAAATGTTTCAAATTGAAGATATCATTTAGTCAAGGTTAACACAATCAAAATTACTATATGGCTAAATCAAACAAAATTATTCTACGTCTACATATAAGAAGGGTGGCCAAAATACGCAGACTTTCCATATCAATTTAAAACTTATGTATCGGTAAAAATTTATAACATATTTTCATATCTGCGTTATATTTTATGAAAAAGAAAAAGAAAAAAAAAGAAAATAAAACACAAAACATTACCCATATGAACGCTATGATAGATATAACAAAGACGTACAATAAGTCCCGAATCACGCAAGATTAACGTATACATAACAACGTCATGTCGTGACGCACTAAACAGCGTTGCATAAAACATTATCTTAAACACAGTCTACAAATGTTATCAACCAAAATGTGCCGTAAATTTCCATATGTGATTTCCGTAACTTGTACGATATGGTGCAGCGACTGTCATCTTCAATGTCATTCTTCAACAATGTCACTAACGATAGCGTAATTACTGAAGTTTACCTGTAACGCTTGTGAAACAAGCTGTTTCGCCAATGTCTGAAACATCTTAACCACCTGAAAGCTGTAGATTATTTCATTTGTGTACATTTTCATTAATTTACATTGCAAAAATATCATATAAACAGGCATACAACAGCTTTTGGACTTTGTTGCTGTCCCGGCAGGTCCTATTTACGTAAAATGTGGGAGCCTTTTGAGCAAATGTTTTGCTAAAAATTTGCTGTATACGCATCATGACATCATATTTTACGTCAAACATATAAAAGTTCGCGGAATTTTAAAAACTAGAAAAACATTACAATGATATCTTATTGTACTAAAATATATAAATATATATTAAATTGAGTATGTGAACGTGCGGTTTATCAAATATTCAATAAATACATATTTTCCATTTACTCAGAGATGGAGTTTACTGATATATCAGTTTTTATAACGGTTTGTTCAACTTTGTTGTTAAATTAGAAAAAATCTAAATGAACAATTAAAGCAGGTTGCCACCAGATTCATACTAATTTTCATGAAAATTCTAAAAATGTATTTAAAAACAGAATTTTAAAAACTAGAAAAACATTACAATGATATCTTATTGTACTAAAATATATAAATATATATTAAATTGAGTATGTGAACGTGCGGTTTCTCAAATATTCAATAAATACATATTTTCCATTTACTCAGAGATGGAGTTTACTGATATATCAGTTTTTATAACGCTTTGTTCAACTTTGTTGTTAAATTTGAAAAATCTAAATGAACAATTAAAGCAGGTTGCCACCAGATTCATACTAATTTTCATGAAAATTCTAAAAATGTATTTAAAAACAGAATATTGTGATGTTAACAAAAGAAAGTAATTTACATTTTACACAATTTGAATGGCATTAATATTCCATGTAAATTATCAAAATGAGTAAAATTTACTAAATAAAACCCCAGCTCTTACTGCGTTACTCACGTAGTAGAAGTTTGGTGATCAATATTGCAAAATTAGAATATCTTAGCTCTTCTGGAGACATGCAGCTTAAATTATATTAAACATGCTATGATATAACCGTATTCATCTAGGGCAAAGTTAACAATGTCAGGATATTGTTTAAAATGATAAAGAATAACAGTCGGCAGAATATTACAATAAATTTTGCCTTTTTAAAGAAATATCTCGGTAGCAAGAAGGAAGATTTCACGTCTTTTTTTACCATTTTGTTTCAACGCTTGTTAATTAGTTTTAATTGTGTTTTAAGTGACGCCTTACACTATCTTTTCGTCGTTCTTTTGTTTTTACTTACGTGTTAACTCCTACTTTATATTACTTGTAACGAAGATAGAATAGAACAAATAACAATTTCAGAACAATAATTTCCTTCTGTCGGTTTCGTATTAAACATTTAAATAGTACATTGCTTGTAAAGAGAATAAATAGTTCATTCTATACAAAGACGCTAATATGGCTGGACTTATCTCTTTGCTTCTGTTTTCATAGCTTCTAGTGTGGTACATTTTTCGGTGGCAACTGAAGAAATGTGCTCAAAATTTTCTTATGAAAAAGAAATTATTACAAACATGCTTAAAATGGAACTCAAAGTTGAAAAAATGGAACAAGAAGTCAAGAAAAGAAACGAAGATATTGTAACAATGCTTGACGCTCAGAGGAAGGAAATGGAGAAGTTTGCAAACGACTACAAAAATCTTCGAGATATTCTTGTAGTTGTGATGGAAAACAAAACAGCAGCAGTTAACTCTTTTCTGGAGGATAAAGCGGTAAACGTGTTAGGCGACAAGATAGCCGAAGTTGATGATGCATTGAAAATAATGACCGGAAAGGTTGATGGTGTATTAAAGGGTAATTACATTTACTATTCAATTATGAAGCTAAACTAAAGTTATTACAGCACAATGTAACGATATTAGGAGTCCTCTTCTCGTAATGTAAACGATACATATCTGAATTAACAACATAAGATGAAACGGAATTCCGTAACTCATGTAAGGGAACTGTCAATGTATATCAATTAATAATAACTGTAATCGGAGGAAACTTAAATGACTCTACATATGTTTATTATTTATATCATTGGCAGTAAAAAGCAAAATCATTGACGTCGGTTGTATTAACAAATAGCTTTGCTAAGTGTGGCGGTAATTGTATTTAGCAGTCTATTGTTTGAAACCAATCTTGTTTTAATAAAACCTTTTTTTCTTTTCAGTAGCTGCTGAAACAGGACTGACAAAGCCAATCGTTGCATTTTCAGCGCATGTAGGGCCGACGAAACTGCATATACCTCAAAACCAAATCATTGTCTTCAGTTTCATAATAACCAATGTAGGAAACGGATATAAAAGTGCATCTGGTAAATTTGTTGCCCCTGTCGCCGGCTATTATTTATTGTCTTGTAGTCTCATATCTTGGAAAGGCGAAGAGTTTTGGGCTAGTATTTATATAAACAACTCCAAGAAAGCATCTCTGAATGAAAAGGGTGCAGATTCAAGGCATGGAATGGCTAGTCAAACTATCATTGTCGAATTGAAAGCAAATGATGTTGTTTCTGTTAAGACACCAAACAACAATGCAATTAATATTCACGGGCTCGGATATTCTACTTTTAGTGGAGTTTTAATTCATTAATGTAGTACATTCTGGCTTTTTCAAATATTCAGATGAATAGTTAATCAATCTTACGGAAATATTATCTTTGCAACTATAAGTGTATCTTGTTTAACTCAATCATATCAATTGTGAGACTTCACATACAACATATTTTATTTTAACAAATGTGAGGAAAAGTTTACATTTGTGACAAAAACACAAGAAATATCTTTTTTCATCTGTTTAATGATTTAGCAATGCCATTAATGTAAATGTCATGTATTTTTCTTTCTTTTGTTAAAAATGTGCAATCAAAATGTTATCAAAACAGAATATCAATTTTACTCTGCTGTTTTAATCATTCTGTAACAAGTCATTCTTAAAATGGGCATTTTTCTTGGCCAAAACAAAAAATGTTCAATGCCCTGATGTCTTTGAAAAATAAGAAAAAAATGTTAAACTATTAAAATAGGTTCAGGAAGGTTTTGAAATGTTTAATATTATTGTCAATAGTATTGCTTGTCTTTGACATACTTCAACATGAATATTTTTATAGATGGCCAAAAGGAATTGTTTATCCCCCCTGATTTTGTCAATAAACTTGAAAGTTGAACTAAAACATGACGATGTACAATGTATGTGTTTTTGTATGACTGTGAGCACTTAATTGATGTTTATGTCATATATTATACAATATTGCTAAGTGAAATAAAACCATACGCATTTGAACGTTCTTAACATTTTTGTGACGGACGCGCCATCATGGTCGTGCAGAGCTTTTTAATCTACGCACACATTGAATATCGACATGCACAATCGTAAAATGGCTCCAACCGAATAACATCTTAACAAATAGTACAAGATTTAATCATATAAAGCACGCACATAATGTCGGAATATGTTAAAAGCGTTTATGATCCAGTTTAATTGCAAGGACCGTTAGTTATCTTACTGATAAAATAAACAAATGAATGTCATAATATACGAGAAAACGTCGTAATAATTGTACTTCTTTGTCCTACTTCGTCCCATCCGAAGTACAGCCAAACACGCTTTTTATGAATGAAAGTCGTAAGTATAAAAGTAGAACAACAAATTAAATATATAATACGAGTAATATTTTTAATACAGAGCAAGAATAGCAGTAAAACATAAGGAAATAACTTTAATGTGCAAAATATGTGCTAAAGTAACTTTTTGTGGTGACTGAAATAGTTTTCAAAATAACAAGTTCTCCGCAACCAAGCACTTTTTTATCAATGAGATTAAAGTTTGACTAGTTTGATTGTAGTTTAGACATTTCTGACCTAGTTTATCGATGTTCAGACCAAGCATCTAAACCGCAGTATTTTCATGGTAATTAGTTTAGATATTTGATATATGATTCAATTTCCAAGAATGTGTAAATTATACGAATGCACATGCCAAAGCAAATAAAAAGTAGTGTGTACTGTGTATAAGTCTGTACTATGTAAAATTGTACGACCGATTTATCCACCTTTACTTTCGAATATATATTAATGTAAACAGTACCTGATACTTCCGGAGATTGGCGACATAACATAAATTGTGAGACACAAAACAGCAACCCGAAAGAGAACAATGTATCAGGGCGAAACAATCGTAGTACATGATCCTGAGATTTGGTTTCAAAGACAGTTTTTTCATGAGTGGCATAATTCTTTATAATATGCATAAATCATTTATTCAGCGAACTATTAATTATAAAAAACGACCCATACAAAAGATCAAAACTTTGAAATCTGGTAATGTTTATTTATTTGTTTTAAATATGAGTTCAAACCGTTGAATAACATTAAAAAAATTATAAGCGAAATGAAAGCTTCGACACAAATCTGTTTTTTTTTCCGGCAGTTCTGTCATACTGGACTTCGATCTATATTCTAGACAAATTTGATCCGTACACGTTGTTAACCAAGATATTAAAGTATTGTTAACCGATAAGATTAAGATATGTCTCAAATTGATGATTTCGATAAAGAAAATAAGTTGAATAGACAAGTTATTTAAGTGATTTCTTCTCTAGACAAGTGCATGCCGCTGAGAAGGCACTGGGCACCGGCAAAAGATTGCGGCTTGGTGGATAGTAAACTCAAATTACCAGGCCCGATATCAGGATTGCTACTTTGTCAAGAACTGGGGACCAATTGCCAATGTCCTGACTAAAGCCAAGGGGAGAGAGGCCTTGCGATGTAGGTAGAGACGACGAGGATGGTAGCTTGATCCCCTAGCACAAAAAGACGGTTTGTAAGACAGGGCCCTTTGTTTGGCACCAACAGACCTTTTAAGGGCTACATCCTTTCATTATGTCTCAGGTTACTGGAGATTTCTGTTCTCATTGACCGCCGTACATTAACTTACTATTGGCATCTTTGTCTAATACTCATTGGAAATTGCATGGAGGTTAATTATCACCACTTTGTGCTTCAAAATTTAGTCGTGAAGGGCATCGCTGGTGACATGTCCGAAGTCCGTACTCGACAGCACAAGCTGCTCTTTGGGCCTTAACAGGCGGATGGACCCTCATTAAGCCCAGACTATATGAATGTAATTTTCCATATAAAAAAGACTAATGTGACAATAACAGGCACGGATCCAATGGGGGGTGGGGTTCAAGGGGTTGAAGGCCCCCAAGATACCCTGGCATGATGTTTTTCTTTAAATTCATGACGTTTTTCTTTAAAGGCAAATTGAGAGTACAATATTACCTTAATCTAAGTCCTTGTTTATTGGGACGCAGACCCAAACTGAGATTCCTGTTATAAAATTATTTCAGTCCAATTTGCAATTTGTTGACATATTTAGACCGAATTAGACTTAGACTATACATACCTGCAGACACTATCTGTAGATAACCTTTGGTCAGTGTAAAAGCAGTTTAAGCGTCAACATTATACTGAGTAAATTAGCCTAAGAAAAGAGCCACTTACTGTTAGTTCATGTGAATCCATGTATTTGTAAATTATGAATAGCCCCCTTAAATGTAATATATATAATCAGCTACTTATTACTCTTAATCTACATACATACAACCCTTTTGCACAAAATGTTATGTCATGGTTTTGTAACTGTCTTTACATGTATGTTTATGTCCTTTTTGGCAATAAAATATGTTTAAATCAAAATCTCCATAAATACTGAAGCGCAAGGGATGAATATCTAAATTAAAAAGCGTTTCTTACGTATAGCTTTTTTAGGGTTTATGTCTTACATAAACAGGGTTTTCCTTGCCTATAGTAAAACCATTTAGGACCATCTTACCCTCTGGGAAAATCTTTTAAATTCATAGTTTTCCCTTGATTAAGGTTTTTTTTCTTCCACAAAAATAAAATGTTATTTCTGTGAAAAATATGTAGACACTTCAGATTCAAAATGTGCATCTAAAATTCACCAAAAGCCACATGTAGATTTCATGCTTTTCTATGGAAGCTCCTCAGACCCAAACAACCCCATTAAAGGGGGAGTTATTTCAAACATATGTCTCTCACCGACGAAAGTTTATGGTCCGGTACAGTAATAACAGAATGATTTTCTTTCCCGTAACAAATATTGTCCTATTTCATAGTCTCCATAACATGTGTGCACTGTAACGAATAGAAAAGACTAAGAACTAAGTCATTTTCTAAAAAGAATTTTTCTTCTATCGGTTTCGTATTAAACAATTAAAGAGAACATGCTTGTAAAGAGATGGAATTGTTCATCCTACATAAACACGCTTATATGGCTGGACTTATGATCTTTGCTTCTGTTTTTATTCATAGCTGCTAATATATTAAATCTACATCTTTCGGTTGCAACTGACGAAATGTGCTCAAAATTTGAGTCTGAAAAGGAAATTATTGCAACATGTTGAAAAAAAATGGAACAAGAAGTCAAGAAAAAGAACGAAGCTATTGTAACAATGCGTAACGCTCAGAGGAAGGAAATGGAGAAGTTTGCAAATGATTACAAAAATCTTTAATTATCCTTGTAGTTGTGATTGAAAACAAACTGGCAGAACCAATCGGCACATCCTCGGCTATTATCTATAATAACCAAGGAAACAATATGAAGTGAGTGAAAGTAGTTCTACCTCGTGGTTTCAGATGTAAACATAAAGAGAGAGGGTCATCTTTAATAATGTAAAACAAATGTATAAATAATTAACAACCAACTGTTTCGATACAATTGTGATTGAAATTATGTCTGACAACCATTTTTAATTTAAATATGCCCACAGGTATACAATTTTAAACAAATTCGACTAAATGTCAACAGGTTGGCATTTGTACTTTCTGTTTCTACAACCATAATAATAAATATACAAATATTGTATTGTTTGCTTTTGTATCTACATGTATTAATTCTGTTATTTTAGGTGGACTTTTACGTGATACATTGGAAAAAAACTTTTTTTCAACAACTCCCATCATTAATTTACTATTTGTTAACATTTTTAGTTTCTTAGCGTAGGTTAGACCGAAATATCGTATCCGTTCTGTGTATTTATACTATTGTGTTCGAGGTCCTTATCCGAAGACAGACGGAAAGAGCCGGAAAGCTGCAATTGCGGTAGCAGTGCAGTTAACTTTTATTTACGACAAAGCCGACTGGTCAAAACAATGGCTTGCAAGTTTAAATCCCTATAAAAATGAAGTTATGTTTTGTTATCAACTACATCCGACTAGCCTACTCTTCTTTTAATGACACTGGTTATGATTTTGTAGATAATAAAAAACATTTTGGTTTAGTTTTTAAAGATTAAAAGGGATGAGCATTTTGGAAACCCATTGCTAAACCTTTTCCCCAAATATTTTGAGAAATTTATCGTCCCCAGAAACGTTTAAATTTTTAAAAAAAATTTTCCCTTTCCGCCCAAATTTTTTAAAATAAAAACCCTTTGGCCCGGGAAAGGGTTTTTACAAAATACGAAAAAAAAATCACTTGAAAAAACACAGATGGGAAAGAAACGCAAGAAACCGCCTTTACGAAACGGAATCGATCAATTCGCTTTTAAAAAAGGTTGGTGGGTCTCCCTCTCAGGCGTAAAATACAAAAATTAGTTACGGTTTTGGAAGCCAAAAGTTGTCTTCTTCCACAATACCTTAACACTTATTTTCATCGGTAGTTTCAGAAACAATAAATACTCACAAAGAAAAAACACCAATTAAACAACTATAGCTAGGAGCACCGAAACATACAAAAACATTTACACCTTCTGCAACTGAATTTTGGAATATATTAGACACCAAATTCGCGAAATCAAATCATAGAATATTTTCAAATCAAGAATGAAAGAAAAAGTTTTAAGTCACCATAGTACCTAATGACTATATGGTTTGTATAAGATATCTTTCATGCGCGTTTAAGAAACAATTGTAGCAACTTGCACGCTGAGCTTTTCAAAAATCATGTAAGAGAAAGCCCGACTTGTACGTGTGGCCACTTTTGTGAGGATGCCGAGCACTATCTCTTTTGCTGTCAATTATTTAAACCTCAAATACTCATACTCTTCACAGGAACAAGAATTTTTCATCCACTTAATGTTGATCTATTACTGTGGGGTAGCA